TGATAGTGGTTCCACTCGTCCGTGGAATTAGCTCGGGGAATCCAGGAATTGTACTTGGCGGTTCCCTACTATTGGACCAAATGTCCCACATTTCCAGCATGCAGAGACGCAGCATCTTATTTTCTTCGACAGTTGACCGATTCGGGTTGTGAAATAGCCAGTTCAAGGCTATCTTCAAGATTAATAATGCAGAGATTTCTTTCTGAGGCTATTGGAACCTTTCCTTTGGATCTTGTAAAATAGGGGTGAGAAGCCAGATTACCGACAAAACCAACCACCTGAACAAAACCTGGCTTATTTGCACACACAACAACCTTGTCAGTTTTGAGACATTTAACAGATAGGGGATCTCACATTGGGGATGCAATGCACCTGAACAGTTAAGACGCTTCTAAAATGTTTCTGCAATGGCTACATTTTTCATCCCGGCTTTCGCTATCTCTTTTCTACTATGTAAATCTTTTCTTTTATTTCCACTCTCTTTTTCTCTTTTGTTTCTTCATTCCTGGTCTTTCTCTTGTTGTTGCCACTCCTGGTCTTCTCTTTTGTATTTATCACACTTTTCTTCCTCTTCTTTTACTTACTGTCTCTCAATTTTCTCTTTTTTTGTTGATTTTCACTCCTATTAATTATGGGTATGATCGCATAAGATGGGCATTGCCTAGTTATTATGACACCGCATGAATCAGACCATTACGTAGTTTAGGGGAATAAATGCAAAATGAAAGCAAAAAATGTTTTGGGGGATTTTCAATATTTCATTAATAAAATCTTTTTGGTTTTTTCATTACAAAGACTCGAAGATATTGATAACTGACATAAAAAGTAAAATATAAAGACTCAAAATAAAATAACAACATACTCGACATGGACGAAAGGATAAAAAAACTCGACGCGAGAAAAAAGTAAAATACAGACTTAAAGACTGCACAATCAAGAACACGGATGTGCCTCAAATGTTATTCCAAAGGCCCACGGGACATCAATTGGTCTCGGTGCGGGCCCGGTTGCAAGCTCTTCTTGAAGGAACTCTAGGTCAGCCATGATCTGGCGAGCAAAAGATAGCCCCGAAGCAAAGAACATAGCTCGAGTCATACTCTCACACTCGTTGCATTTCATCGCAGTGTAGTCGGCTATTTCTTTGATTCTAAGTTTGATGGCACCATTCTCCTGGAGCAATCGTTCAATTTGTTGTTCTTGGACTTCCACTACTTGCATGGCCCTGTTGTTTCAATCTTGCAACCTCAACACACTCTCTTCCAATTTGTTGATCAATAAAGAACAATGTTCTCTTTCCGTCTTGAAATCTTTAACCTGCTCACCCATTTCATTTTCGAGGGTGGCTAACTCTTTCATCAGAATTGCGGCTTCTCTGTCATAACTTTGCTTTGTTTGGTGAGCTAACCTTGTCTATTCTTCTACATTTTCTCTACCCTTGCCTGAGTTTTTGCCAAATGTTTCTAGGCCTTTGTTAGGTCGGATGCATAGTCATGCACTTTTTGCCTCAAGTTGCTCATGATTTTTTCGTCCCTCTCACTTCTTACCGGCATCTCAGCAGCTATATTCATTTCCTGGAGCTGAGCTCGTAGGGCTTTATTTCGGGCCACCTTTTCTTTTCTCCCTCATCTTCAGCGGCTTGCAACCCACTTTCAAATTTGATGGTTCTGACTTGACGTTCTAGTTTGTTGATGGTGGTCCGACATTCCTTCTCTTTGGCTAACCAAATTCACTGCTCTTGCGATGTATCAATAAATTCCTGAATATGGGGATTTTTAGTCGGCCTTTCAGATTCGTCATTTGTTGTGATTTTCTTTCCGTAGAAACATACCTAGGTAGAACCTTGCCATTAGACAAATCATATACTCGGGTATTTGCCCCCAAATACTGGAACTCGCTCCAAATTTGACAGACCACATCTTTAGGAAATTGAGCATCAAAGCGGATTTGAACCACATGATTACTAAGGTTTCACATCCTTGGAAACTGTCTGACATTTTCCAAGTTATCTCAAAACCCAGTATGGGGCATATGGTTGGATGCTACGGAGACCCATCAGAAGGAAGAAGGGACCAGTGGCCGACATATGAACAATCTCATCGATAGGGAGCCAACCTAATGTCCATTCTATCTGATCTGCCAAAGACTGAAGGCGGGTGATCCAATTTCTTACTCTCTCTGGCATTACGAATCCTGTCACTCGCGTACAAAACTCTTCGATGCAATTTTTTCGGTAGAACCGTAATTCATGTATCGGGGACGGTGACAAAGGTGTTCAATCATCAACATTTGTAAAAAAAAATTGTACCCCTCAAAAAACTTGACTCCGACCTTACAGGATGTGAGGACTCGGAATATATCTGATACGATCATAGGTGCGAGGGTACTTTTGGTCTGAGTAGTCAAAACATGGACAATGCTGGCTATACGCAAGTCAATGTGACCATTCTACCTTGGAAACATCAAAAGGCCTAGAAATGCCACCATGAAGGCAAAGCATCTATGCACCTTCCACTTTGACCGGTTACCTTTCCTACAAAGTTCATTTTCTGGGTTTTCGAGCCCCCCTAGATGCTTGTACCCTAGTATAGGAAGTGAAAAGTGCAAGCTCCACCTGCCAGACTTTTTATCTTGATCTGCCTACTTATTTTCAGTAAGTCTAGAAACTTGCGGGGAGTGACGATCCTTGGAGACACCAGATACTTGTGTCTCAATCCTTCCGGACTCCCGGCATAGCCTGCCATTTCTTTTAGAGAGGGTGTAAGCTCAAAATCTGAGAAATGAAAAACATTGTGAGCTGGGTCCCAAAATGACACTAGTGCCTCTATCAGATCACTTTTAGGCTGAATCTTTAATAGTCCGGTGAGAGACCCCAAGTACTGATTGACTCGGTCTAATCCTTGTTTTCCCAAATCTTCCCGCCACATGTGGAGTGTCAAAGGGATCTGGTCCACAACCTTCAAAGGTAAATTTTGAACAATGCTCATTCTGCACAATTTTTTAAAAAATAGGGTGACTTGGTTAAAAATAGTTTTGAAAACTGACCACAAAATATTAGTCTTGCAAAACCCAAGTTAAAACTAAACGCGACTACTTTTGCAAATACGGTCCTTCAGCACTTTGTGAGGGAAGATTTTAGGGTTGTTCTTGCTAAGTGGCCTAAAATTTAAAAACAGGACCATAGACGGCTATTCTTTCAAAAAAATGGCCTACAGGCACCCCTAACGGGATATTTCTGGTTGTTTGGACAAAAACGGCATCACCTGACTTTATTTATGACAATATGACAACATTTTAATTTTTGATTATTTTTTGCAAAAGCAAGGTCGAACCCGATGAAGGTTGCCTACGTATCTCATATCCGGTAAGAATTAAACTCGCGTAGTTCGATAAATTTTGATATGACGGGAAAAATATGGCTTTTGAAAACATTGGCTTATTTTGAAATGACTTTTCTTTTTCTTTCTTTTTTTTTAAAATTTCGGCAGAGTTTCGAAATTTTTCAAACACCTGAATTTTCATAACCGAGTAAATTTCTTTCTCCTCACTCTTGAGTTTTCATGATTTTATTTCCCTATTTTAGAAATCGGTCAACATGCAAACTGAAATAAATAAATGTACAAGTAGCACATAAAATACATTAGGATGGTCTTTTAATTTGGGTACATATGTGCTAGACGACCCAACCCCTATGTTGAGTCCCCAAAATCAAATGCACGTGATGCAAACAAACGTTCCTACTAGGGATCTGGTATGAAGCTATATTATACTAGGTTTGAATCCTAGGTGTGTTGTTCTAGACCTGGCTTACCCGAGGGAAAACTCGAGCCGAGGATGCAATGTACCGGGAATCAAAAGGCCATCCGGCTTTGTAACTGATCTGATCTTCATTCTAAATTAGGGGTATGACACTAACATAAAAGAAGCCACGCTAGTGGGAGCTTCCCATATGATTTAAAAGACTTGGAGAGAAGAAAGGTATCGTAACAGTTTTATATACAGTTCAAACAATATCAAAGTGGTAAAAAGTGGCATTTAGCACATTAGGCTCAAACACGTAAAAAATCAATTAATAAGTAAAAGCCAAGTGTAACAGTTATTCTAAGCTCGAATTCTGAACCCTGAACCAGAGATTCAGGGTTCGATCCCAGCAGAGTCGCTGGAGCTGTTACACTTCTTTTTTCCCGAGAGATAGGGAGTTTTTCCAATTAAAGTGATATTATTCGAAATGGGATTATTTATTTAATTAGAGTCGCCACTTGAGATAATTATTATGGTGTCCCAAGTCACCCATTTATTTAAAATCCCAAATTGAGAAGATTGACTCTATTTATGATTCGCGAACATAGAAGATCGGGTAAGGAATTATGTTAACCCGGAAGAAGGTGTCAGGCATTCCCGAGTTCCGTGGTTTTAGTACGGTCGCTTAATAATTAATGCTTGGCCTAATTATCTGATTTATTACATGTTTAAAACCTATTGTGCACTTTAATTTTTTACCTCTTTTAATTATTTTAAATAATTATGGAATTTATTGAAACAAATTGCGGTGTCGCGGACTTGTCTGTTTTCACATAAACATTGCTAATCACGCCACGTGAAACGTACTCGTGATTCGCAATATTTTTATTTTTATTATTTAAAGCTGTGACCAAGTTGCGTGAATCCGCACTTGAGTTGGGATTTACCTATCATGACTATGCCACGGGAACTGTACCCATAGTCACGATGAATCATCTTTTTAAGTCGCGCCTAAAGCACACTACGGTGTTTATAAGAATCAGTTTTCTCTATACTAGTTTGAGGTTGCTGTGGGGGCCAAAAGCTTATGAAAATTAGTTGTGGAAGAAAAAGAGTAGATTAGTTATAGAAAAGTGGATTAGCCTTGCTAAATTCAATTTTTTGCGGGTTTGAGATTTTGGTGTAAGGTCATAGGTGGTATGCACATATTGTGAATCATGCACACATGATTTTGATCATTGAAATCCAAGAATGAGAGCACGTGAGTTAAAGGATTATTTTACATATTCAGAATCAAGTTACAATTACCAACAGTTTAAAAACATGCCTATGGAATTTAACTAGTGGGGAAAGATGGACGTAATTATATATAAATAGTTGTCCTACTAATTCTAATTTGGTTATTTTAATCAAGAACAGAGGTGAAGACAAATGTGTTCCCCAGTTACTGTATAGAATGATTCGAATTGTGACTGAGGCTAATTAGATCTCAAATGCCCAGGTCTTCAATGGGCTCTCCTTGGTGAAGTCCAGAATCCATCATTAATTAATCAGGCCACAAAATGGACAATTCTATCTTTTAGGCCCAATAGAGTGAACACAAACTCCAAAAATTAACAAAAAACTGCACGAATTATAGGACAAAATCTGCAACCATTCAAGTCCAGCATTGATTTGCAATTAATCTGAATCACGTGAGAGGTTCATAGCCTATCAAATTGAACTAATTACATCAACAAACCAACCGATCAATTACAAGCATTATTTTACAGTCCAGTCTTAAATGTTACAGAATTAATCTATAGTTACTACTTTCATTGAGGGAGCAACCATGGAACCACTGCACTTTATAATCGGAATCCACTGAGCTAGCTTCTTCAAAAGTGAATCTAAACAGCAGGTGACTAGATTCCCGATTTCATCACCCTTAAAGTCACCTTACACTTGAATCATATTTAAACTCAATAGAAATTCTAGTAGCGAATTATTCATGAGAGTGATAACAACTGAAATTGCTTAGTTAAAACATACAAGCAACACCGCATGTTAAAGAGATGGAAATTTAAACAAACTTCATCAACTAAACCCACTGGATCTATTGAATCAGGCATGAGCATGTTAGGATTTCATTTATGATACAAGTAGAAAATAGCAAATGAGGATGAACGCACCTACTAGCAGAGAAACAGCAACAGAAAAACAAAGAGAAGTCTGAACTTCAAAGCTATGGCTCAACCACAGCAGAATGAATACAGTAGCAAAAATGGTGAATTCTTTAACTCAAACAACTATGGAAATCCAAGAGATATGCAGCAACAGAGTAGGACTTAGAAACAGCTTTGAATCTTCTTCTTTTTTTGGATTTTTCTGTATCTAAATTGAATTTCAGAGTTTTTTTAGAGAAATAAGTGAGGATAAGGGAATATGAGTGAGAAATCTATAGAGAATTAGTGTGTGTGTGTGTGAGAGAGGGAATGTGAGGTCTTTATGTAGAATATGAGGGTGTGTTATATGCACAATGGTGAGGGAATAATCTGAGGAATGTGTCAGCTGAAAAATAGGAAGGAAGCATCTTTTTAACAGATTTTGACAGCTGGCAATTCACATTATTCTTGCTTTATTTTACAGCCCCCTCTTACTTCTTCATTTTTGACTCTTAAATCCTTTTTTAACCTAAATTCTTCAGTTTATTGCTTTTAAATCTCTTCCACTCTATTCTAGAACCTTCTTAGGCAGTTAGCAGAAATATTCCCCAAATTTCCCTATTTCAATT